CCCCAAAACCCCAAAACCCCAAAACCCCTTTGGAAAATTTAGAGATTGAGATAGGGGTTGGTTTAACTGTTTTGGAGGAGTAGTTATGAGTGAAAATCTTAGTATGGGAGCTTAGGGGAGGTAAGAACTGAATTTAGATTTCTGAGGTCTTGCTGTATAAGGTTTCTTTTCAGGATTTTCTATAAAATCACAGAGTTTCTTTGATCTATGATAGCCCACTATAAAGAGTACTTTCTGGAATTTACCTTTAAATTTCTGTTTTCCTTGTATACGTTGGCAGGCATCATCATTAGTAGATCGCTCTATAACTGGTTGGAGATCTCCATGTAGATTGAGAAGACTAGTCTTGTTAAGTTTCTTCGGTGTCTGCCACACATCATTATTCTGGTCGGTGGAAATCTCTTTAAAATTATGAGTATCTACTCATATATTTGTGTGCTCTTCTGATAAACGTTTGTATTTTCTGCTTAGTCTCGCTAAAAGAGGCTCTGTTTTCTCTGATTTGTAAAAGCCCATAGTCGTATTCAGATTTCTTCTAGCACTATGAACTGATACAGGATCCTTTATATCAATGGAGTAGCAATAATTCATATACATATTTGCACGAGATGTATGAGTGCCTCTTCGGGTCTTTATTTTAGCATTTGCATTTCTAATATAGCTTTGAATTTTATTACTTTCTGTCTCATTCCTACTCTTCTTCTGATCTCTGACGCTCTGGTCAAGCGCAAGGTCTTTAGGATAGTTTCCTTTCATATTTCTTGTATTATTTAGACATGTGTTCTTAGATTGAGGGACTCTTCGTGTAGAAGTTTTAGAGTTTGGAGCTAGATTGTTAAAGTTCCTCTCCAAGATCTTTTTCTTCTCATTAACTTTTCCCTTATTTAAGTACAGATTCATAATTTTGGACCAGATAGCGAGACAGTACTGTGTTCTTAGAGGCTGAAGTTCCTTCATATGATGTTGTTTTGGCTGGCTTCCCATGAACAAAGGAGCTCTTGTTGAGATTCTTCCTACTAGTTTGAGGTCTCAACTCGGTTTGCATGAATTTGTCAGTATTGATTCTTGGACTTCTTTCCACTGGCTTCCCATATTTAATAGTAGAATTTATAAATTTATTCTCTTCCTTAATAGCATTCATATTCAGCTGGTTGTTCTTAGAGCAAGGCTCCACAAAAGAATTTGTATTCTTTTTAACTTCAAATTTTCGAAGTTCAGTAAGCAAATTTCGGGCATTGGTACACTCCCTAGCTCTTGAAACATGCTTTTGAATATGCTCAGATCTTTTCTCTCTGTAGCTTACAAGGTCTAGTTTCTCTAGTCGGTTTCTGATAGGCTCTCTGTGCAAGCTTCTTGGCCTTTCAGGAGTTTCGAATTCATTTATAGATGACTTGTTGTTAAATTTACTGGGAGTTGGTTTCATCACTTTATGGTTTCGAGGCTTCATTCCTAATCCACTCTGTGGTTTCGGGATATTCTCAATCAGCTCAGGCTTCGGAGAGCAAAGGATACTACTGGCCATATCACTCCAAGCTACTGAACTCTTTTGCCCTGAAGTCATATGGCTTTGGTCAAGGACATTGTTAACGACAAACTGTTTTTCAGAAGCTTGCTCATTAGTATCTTGGTCTCAATGGATATACCCACTTTCATTAAGAATGTTCTCTGGCTGTATTTCCTTCTTCCTTGAGTATATTTCATATAGCTGGGTGAGGGAGCAATTAAACAGAACTCATCATATTTTTGTAATAATCTTATCCCTCAAATATTTGTTTTTAAATTTCAGCTCAATTGATCTCCTTGACTTAGTGCTGAATTCATAGTTTCAGGCATGATGGACCTCTCTTTTAAGCCAATCCCCAATGCTGGTAAGACAAAAATCTGTGAGGTTTTCATCTATCAGCAGTCTACTTTGACAAACAGACATGTTTTCTGTATAAAAATATAGCACTGAAATATTTTACTCGGGGTTTTGGGGTTTTGGGGTTTTGGGGTTTTGGGGTTTTGGGGTTTTGGGG